AAAAAAAAAAAGAGTTAATTGGATCTGACACGACCTAAATGAATTTGATTTACCCAAAAACTGATTTTCTTAATTAGATAGAAGACATTTCACATGACTTGATTAAAAAGAAGTTTTTTTTCCCTTATAAAATTAGTTTGTTCCTTTTTGGGTTGATGGAGGGAGAAGAAGCAATTACAAAATGAGAAATAGAGTTTAGAATGTTTTTGATGCTAATGCTGTTTAAGTGACTTTTACATTTTGTCTACAGAAAATCAATCTATGCAAGACCAGGCACCTATGTTGGAAGGTGAATTGGTTATAAAATATATCTTTGGAAATTTTTCAATCATTGAATATAATGAATGACCATTCACAATAATGCATGTGAACCTCAAAGTTGATGATATTCTAAATCTGATCAGTATCATTTTTTAATTTGACTTCTTAATCAAATCAAATCTTAGAACTGATTGAATTAACATGGTGACACAGTAGCTTTAAATCATTAAAGTCGTCTATTTTACATAATCATAAAGACAATGACTATATCAAGATTGTCTTAGATAGGAGTAAGATTAGAACATGATGAGAGAGATTTGAATGATTCTCTACCTATGATCAGAACTTTGAGAATTTGTTAAACAGCAGCATGTAGCTTAATATTTTGTGATTAGCTCTTGAGTGTTTTGAGGCTCATTTGGCAGTCTGTTTCTTAGCAAACCTGTAGAAAATTAAAAAGGCAAATGAAGGATACCTGGCTGGCTCAGAAGGACACATGACTCTTGCTTTCAGGGTCATGAGTTTGAGCCACTTGTTGGGTATAGAGACTACTAAAAAAAAAAAAAAATAAGTAAACTTAAAAAAAAAAAGGCAAATACATGCTGGTTGGAAGATCTAGTTTTTTAAAAAATTTCTGTGGCATTATGTATGGATCACAGGTTCTTTGGTCTGCTAAGCAATTTTGTTGTGATTTAATATGGATATCAATAAAACAAGTAAAAGCTAAAATTCTGAAAGAATGTCTGATTTGTTGAAAGAGGAGCAATTTTTTTGCTTTAACTATAAACATACACAAAACTCAATGAAATGTAAAATGATTACATTTTGATTTTAAAATTATCCTATCTTTATTTCTGGCATGTTTTCTTTAAAGATACTGGCATTAAAGTATTTAATGAATTCTGCTACTGATGTCTGTTTTTCACTTTGAGATGAAGGGTTTTGGGGGATTTTTAGGGGAAATTTACTAGTTGACAGTAATTTAATTTTCTATTTGCTGCCAACCTGAAATTTTTTGTGTGGCATTAAAAAAATCTTATCACAGATACTTAAATGCTTTCTACTTTATAAATAATTCCTAAGGCAAGATGATGAAATTGCAGTATTGTGTAGTTGAGACCTTTTTTTAACAGTGTTTCTGCCATATGGATGATTTTGCTTATATTGAATTGCTCTCTTGGGAAATAGGAGATTGTCACTTTTATTCTTTTCTGTATGCTGAATATAGCAAAAGTAGGTTTTTTTATTTTTTAGCAGACTCAGGTGATTTATTTTTTCTTTATTAAGAGAAAATTTCTAACTGATCTTTGAAGGTTATACATCTATATAGACATGAAGACTTCACTGTCCCTAAATTTAGTACAGCTCTTTCACTTTAAATGGAAATAATATCAAGTTATCTTGCCTGGTAAGCCAAGGCCTTGTGAATATTTGAGGGAATGAGTTTGAGAATCCAGGGCTTCAGAGTGATCCCCAAAGCTCAGCTGGTAAAACTTTTGTGAGTTGTCCTCGGGGTTAAGGCAGAATTTGAAGGTATTATAAGATGGATACAATTGAGTTTTCTTCTTTTCAGAATTCTAAAGGAAAATGCCCTTTATTATCTGTTATAGGTTCTCAGAATGGTTGGAATGATCCTCCAGCTTTGAACAGAGTACCTAAGAAGAAGAAGGTACTAGAAAAAGCTGTCCATCCAGTTGCCTGCAGATGTTCTACTAATCACAAAGCCACCTGGAACACACTATCCTTCACTGATCCTTTTAAAAGCAAAGCTTACTGATTGATAGGTTTAAAGTGTATTTCAGCTTGCGTCTTCCATTCCATGAAGGGAAGGAAAGAAAGTTAAAAAAAAAAAAAAAAAAACAATATGGTGGTGTGAATTTAATTCCCATTAGAAGACAAGATGTAAATTCCCAACAGGTCTCTTTCAAAGAGTAGGAAACAAAATTTTTCAATGATTTTTTTCTTTTTGGGGTTACCTTGATCTTTTGTTTCCAACAGTAGTCATGAATTTGGTAATTATATTTTGGACTATTTTGTCTATCACATATAGTATGAATGAAGAAATAACCTTATAGCTGAGCACTGTTTAACTGTCAGTAACTGTTGAGAGCTGTTGGAGCACAAGATAAGATTCTTCTCTCCTTCTTTCTTCCCAAACATTTCTACTTTTTTTTTTTTAACTTCTGGTGATTTCCTTTCCTTATATAGTAATGAGAGGTCATAACAATAAAATTGGGAGCATTAAATGGTCAAAAAAACCCAAAATTTAGGTTAGTAATAATTAGAAATTTAATCTACTACTTTTAATATGATTGAATTGACAGGTAATATCCACTTAGTAATCTAGGAAGAGGAGTATTACATCGTGATCACATTAAATACAAACACATTTGGCATATCTGATTCCACTATGGCTAGATATAATCCTCTAGACTTTAACATCCTCTTTCAAAACACCATGTTTTGGCTCCCCATATGAGAGGAAGTGTGGAAGACAAAGGGGAAACAGAGGTCCAGTTTTGAGCTCTCTATCGCTCTTAGCCAGATTAGCTCTACTTTTATGTTTTACTCTAGAATTTTGCATAAGGTTTCATTTGAAAAAAGTATCCTTTTTTTTTTTTTTAAATGTTAACCTTATTTAAAGGTGAGTAAATGATACTCTTTTTCTTATGCTTGGTGTCTCTTATTTCTGTCTTTTAAAAGATGCCTGAAAACTTTATGCCACCTGTTCCCATCACATCACCAATCATGAACCCTTTGGGTGACCCCCAGTCACAGATGCTGCCGCAACAGCCTTCAGCTCCCGTACCTCTGTCAAGCCAAGCTTCATTTCCACAGCCACATCTTGCAGGTGGCCAGACCTTCCATGGCATACAACAACCCCTCGGTCAACCAGGCATGCCACCATCTTTCTCCAAGCCCAATATTGAAGGCGCCCCAGGGGCTCCTATTGGAAATACCATCCAGGTAACAGTAAATCTGCATAAGTGGAATGGGGAGATGGCTCTATTTCAGTTCATTTTTTTTAATGTGTTAACTTTGATGTTTACACCTTTACTAATGAACATCTAAATTTGGTTTCAATTAAGACAACCTAAATAAAAAATAGTGGGCGCCTGGGTGGCTCAGTTGGTTAAGCGACTGCCTTCGGCTCAGGTCATGATCCTGGAGTCCCTGGATCGAGTCCCGCATCGGGCTCCCTGCTCGGCAGGGAGTCTGCTTCTCCCTCTGACCCCCCCCTCATGTGCTTTCTCTCTCTCTCATTCTCATTCTCTCAAATAAATAAATAAAATCTTTAAAATAAATAAATTAAATAAATAAATAAATAAATAAATAAATAAATAATAGTAACCCTTTTTTTAAGATCGATCATGCATGGATATTTTTCAATTACATGGCCGTAAACTTTCTAGAAGAGGCTCATATATTTGCTAGTATATGTTTACACTAACTTGACAATTGCAGTATTTCATTTGACCTAATCCGTAGCCATAAATTTAGATCAGTTGAATCCATATTTCCAGCCAGGCTTGCTAAACAGAAGCTATTTCCAAAGGTTTTTCCCTTTAAAATACAAAATAAAAATGTAATGAGTTATATCTTGTGTATGTGTAAGAGCTAATAATATACAGCATACCTTCAGATGGAGATATAAATTTGTACTTGCTTTTCACGTACAGCTAGTTGGCAGGGTTCTAGATGATAAAAATATCACATGTAACTGACTTAGACATACAAAGATAAACATTTTGATCTGTTCATGAAAAGTGAAGAGCTTGGGTCAAAATTAACATAAGAAGATGAAACAAATCCCTGCCCAAAGTATAAAACTAGTTCTGGTTTTGTCTTTGATTCATTAAAGTCAAATTTATAAAGATGTATCTCTATCACAAGGGTATGCTTTCATATTAATATAGATAGTTCTGCCTAAGGAACTTCTGAATTATAAAAACCAGTGTTTTGATGGAGGTGGGAGAACTGACTTTTTTTCCACAGGACTATAAATTATAAAGATGCATTGTTAATTTTTTTTTATGATTACAAGTCTATGCTAGTTTGGGAAGCTACCCAGCCATTCACTTTTGTTTAGACCTGGGGTGTTCATGCTTTACTCGTCTATACCAGAAACTCAGTTACCATCGGAAGGGAATGCTGCACAAGATGTATGTGTTCAGCCAGGCCGTTACATCCAGCTGCCTGCCTACCTCAATGTCTCCGAGGCACCTCACACTCTACATTTCTGAAGCCTTATACCCCTTAAACCCTTATAGCCCTCCCAAACCTGGCCTTCAAAAACTTGATGTTTCCTGTTTCAGTGAATGGCACCATAATCCTTCCTATTTAATCTAGCCGAAAACCTGAGAATCATCTTTATACTCTTTTCCTTTAATCCCGCTTTCAAATCTATCCCTAAATCTTGTTGATACTATTTTAAAATCTCTCTCAGATCCCTGGTCTACACTTCCAGTCTAATCTATCCTGCCTTCATCCCCAGTTTTCAGCAGTGCAGGATCCTCTAATTAGTCTGCCTTTGATCCATCTATGTGGTCTTGTCTCCTCTTTGTTTAAAGCATTGCTCTGAGGATAAAGACCAGAGTATTTAACATTGTCTGGAAGCCCTCAGCTTCATACTCCTCCTTGCTGTCTCTCTGTTCCAGCTACACTGGCCTCCTTTTCGTCCCCCGTATCATGATCCTTCCTTTGTACATGTTCTTTCTCTACCCGGAATGCTTTTCCTTTCTCATTTAACTAGTTAACTCCTACTTGTCCTTCTGATATAATTTCCTGGAGAGAGGCTTTCCCCTCAGTTAAATTCTAGTTATATTATCTGTTGGTTCCATTACTGTTAACTTATTAGCAATTAAATAGCAGTACAGTTGCTATCTTAACATGTATTGATGGCATTTTATTTTTTTACTTTTTTTTCAAGTAACATCTTTCATTAAGATAGTAAATGTAAACTTTTTTTTTATGACACTTTAAAACTTTCTTTTTCTTCTTTTAGCCTAGTAAATTGCCAGAGAGTTGAGATCATTTCTGAATTGGCTCACAAATACACAGTCAGTGCCTAGCACATAATTGCCTAATATTTTTGAATGAATGAACTAAAAAATCAGAACTTTAAAAACAAACATTCCTTCTTTGTCTTTCCATCTATACATTCAGTAACATCATGGTCTCTTATATCCCAGCTTTTGATTTAATCTTGGCAGTTTGGGGGCACCTGGGTGGCTCAGTTAAGCGGCTGCCTTTGGCTCAGGTAATGCCCTCAGGGTCCTGGGATCGAGCCCCACGTCAGGCTCCCTGCTCAGTGGAGAGCCTGCTTCTACCTCTGCCCCTCCCCCACTTGTGCTCTCTCTCACGCTCGCTCTCTCTCAAATAAATAAATAAAATCTTAAAAAAAAAAAACATCTTGCAGTTTGATGATAGACCAGTTACCAACCTTCAAGAGTAAACCAAAGAATAGAAGAATGCCAAGATAAACAAATGAGCCAACAAGCAGAGCAAGCAGCCACTCTAGCCAGCTTTGTAAATGCCTTGTTCTTTTTATTTCCTACTGGCATCGTAGGTCTGCTGTCTACTTCCCACCAGATACATACAGTAGTAACCAACATATGTTCCATATTGACCAAATTCTTTATATCCAGTTCTGTTTTTGAAAATCAAAGCTGTAGAAGCCTGTACCTTCTACTGAATATCTGATTTTCATTTTTACTTATCCCCAAGGGATTTCACATGTTAATTTGTCATTTGATTTTAACAGCCTATCTACAAGGTAATTAGTTGGTTTCTCTTTATCACAGAGTTTCAGGGCTTTGTGTATAGTTTCTGGTCATTTCTGGTCACTTTATGGTATTATTTCTTCCAGCATGTGCAGTCTTTGCCAACAGAAAAAATTACCAAGAAACCTATTCCAGATGAGCACCTCATTCTAAAGACCACATTTGAGGATCTTATTCAGCGCTGCCTCTCTTCAGCCACAGATCCTGTATGTATTTTTTTCTCATATTTTGCTTATTTAAAATAATCACTTATGGAGCTCTTGTGTAATTGCATGAAGTCTTACAAGATATACTTTAGAAGTTTGTACAATAGTAATAAAACTAGCACTTACATAGTTTGCTTTATATATAAAAATGTATTTAATTTCTTTTATATGTAAATATTTAATCCTCACAACAACCCCATGGTAGGTAAATTTGTCATCTTTATTTTACAGACAACTAAAGTAAGCAAAAAGCTGTTAAGTAACACCCAAAGTCAGAGCCAGAATTCAAACCCAGCTTAGGTCCAGAATTTATGCTCTCACTCACTATGCTGCACTGCCTCTCAGTAGCAAACCTCGTGTTTGGAACATAAATAGAACAGAATGGTGGTATGTAAGAAATTCAGGTTTGGGCTTTCTTTCTGAGCTTAGATCAAAGCTTTTAAAAGTAGATAATCGTATGTAACTTTGCAAAGATCTTAAAAATAATTGTTTTAGAGTCTAGAGTCATATTCACAGTTAAAGCAACTGATTTTACTTAATTTAGAGGATGCCTGTGTATTGGCAACAACAAAAATCCAACAAAGCTGGTCTTGTTTTAGATGAAATCTCAATTTCTGCCAGTAAACATTGAATATGTTTATTTAGCCACTGGCCACTTGTCTGCTTGAAAAATAGCTTCTGGAATTTGTTGTTTATCAAACATTGAGTATTAATATGTGTAGCTTTCTGCTGGTCCTTTAGAAGGCTATTCCCTGTACTAAATGTGTCAGGAAAGCAGAGGCAGGGAAAGGTTAGCGTCGTGCCTAACATTCTGGAAGTGATGGAAACACTGAGTGAGGAACAGAGAGCAGATGAAGCAGATAGCCTGGCATACACTGTCCCCTGTGAACACCTCTAAATAGGACACAGTCATTCAAAAATAGAAGAGTCCTAATAAAAATGAAGGAAAACTCCAGCCCTCCTTCAGGCATGAGTCATTATAGAGAGGTTGAGAAGACACGTAGTACACAGCCCAGCTCAATAAATTTTTGTTGAGTTTAAACTCCTCTAGGTCAACATATCATCTTCCTTCTGGGTCCACAGGAGCCCTGGGCAGAAGAGAACCACAAAAGACAAACTGTTCCTGTAATTTCTGTAACCAGTTAGGGGGGAAAGTCCTAATATCCTATCCTGCCCAACTGACTCTGCCCCTGGGGTAGCGCTCCTGCCGGTAGCTAGATGAGATTAACTTTGAGCAGGGACTATCAGGGTTCTCCTCCACACAAATCCGTTTCATCAATAGCTGGAATCATTTTTACAATATGGCTGTAATACGTATTTTCACTTATGTCCAGACAACACAAGGTAATTTTGCAGCATGACTTAGTTTGTAATGTTATGCTTGATATCTTCATCTCTTTCTCTCTCTCTTCTTTTTTTTTTAATTCATTCCAGGTATATAATACAGTGCTTCAACAGTTTTGTACAGTACTGAGTGCTCATCATGATAAGCACATTCATTAATCCCTATCACCTATTTCACCCATCCTTCCATCCACCTGCCTTCTGGGAACCATCATATTCTTCTCTGTAGTTTAGAGTCTGTTCCTTAGTTTGTCTCTCTTTTTTTTTTTTCCTTTGGTAGTTTATTCTGTTTCTTAAATTCCAAATGTGAGTGAAATCATATATTTGTCTTTCTCTGAATGACTTAATGTATTTAGCTTTATACTCTCTAGCTCCATCCATGTTGTTGCAAATGGCAAAATTTCATTCTTTTTATGACTGAACGATAATCTGTTGTGTATATATACCACATCTTCTTTATCCATTCATCTATCAATGGACACTGGGTTGCTTCCGTAGTTTGGCTATGGTAAATAATGCTGCAATAAACATAGGGGTATATGTATCCCTTTGAATTAGTGTTTTTGTATTTTGGGGGTAAGTACTCAGTAGTACGCTTGCTGGGTCACAGGGTAATTCTATTTTTAACTTTTTGAGGAACTCCATACTGTTTTCCAGAGTGGCTACACCAGTTTGCATTCCTACTAATAGTGCAAGAGGGTTCCCCTTTCTGCATATCCTCACCAACACTATGTTGTTTCTTGTGTTGTTGATTTTAGCCATTCTGACAGATGTGAGGTGATATTTCATTGTAGAAATATCTTCTTTGGAGAAATGTCATTCATGTCTTCTGCCCATTTTTTAATTGGATTATTTTTTGGGAGGGGGTGTTGAGTTATATCAGTTCTTTATATATTTTAGATACTAACCCTTTACTGGATATGTCATTTGCAAATATCTTCTCCCATTCAGTACATTGCCTTTCAGTTTTGTTTATTGTTTCCTTTGCTGTGCAGAAGCTTTTTATTCTGATGTAGTCCCAGTAGTTTATTTTTGCTTTTTATTTCCTTTGAGGAGCCATATCTAGAAAAATGTTGCTATGGCTAATGTCAGAGAAATTACTGCCTGTGTTCTCTTCTAGGATTTTTATGGTTTCCTGTCTTATATTTAGGTCTTTAATCCATTTTGAGTTTATTTTTGTGTATAGTGTGAGAAAGTGGTCCAGTTTCATTCTTTTGCATGTAGCTGTCCAGTTTTCCTAACACCATTTGTTAAAAAGACTGTCTTTTTCCCATTGGGTATTCTTGCCTCCTTTGTCGAAGATTATTTGACCATATACTTGTGAGTTTATTTCTGGATTTTCTATTCTGTTTCATTGATCTGTGTGTCTGTTTTTGTGCCAGTATCATACTGTCTTGATTACTACAGCTTTGTAATATAATTTGAAGTACAGAATTGTGACACCTTCAGCTTTGCTGTTCTTTTTCAAGATTGCTGTGGCTATTTGGGGTCTTTTATGGTTCCATACAAATTATAGGATTATTTGTTCTAGGTCTATGAAAATTGCTATTGGTATATTGATACATTAAAAAAATCATTCACAGGAGCACCTGGGTAGCTCAGTCGGTTGAGCTTCTGACTCTTGGTTTCATCTCAGGTCATGATATTGGGATCATGAGATCGAGCCCCACATCAGGCTCTGTGCTCAGTGCAGTCTGCTTGAGATTCTCTCTCCCTTTCTCTCTGCCCCTCCCCCCACTCACGTGCTTGCTCTCTCTCAAATAAATAAATAAATCTTTAAAAGAAAATCTTTAAAAGAAAACCTCGGGATGCGAGGCTGGTTCAGTATTCAAAGATCAATTATTGCTTGCTTCAGCAGCACATATACTAAAATTGGACCAATATAGAGAAGATTAGCATTGTCCCTGCACAAGAATGACAGACAAATTTGTGAATATTCACAGACCAATCAAAGTGATGCATCACATCCAGCAGAGAAAGGATAAAAACCTACATGGTCATTTCAATAGATGCAGAAAAAGCATTTGACAAAGTACAAAATCCATTCCTGATAAAAACCCTCGACAAAGTAGGTATAGAGGGAACATACTTCAACATAATAAAAGCTGTATATGAAAAACTCACAGCTAACATCATCTCCATGGGGAAATATTCAGAGCTTTTCCTTTCTCTTTTGATGGATTGACATTCCTTCCTCCAACATACCAAGAGCATGTCAGCATCGACAGCTTTGTACTTGCTGCTCCTTCTGCCTGGAATCTTCCCCCACATAACTGCATTACTCACTCTACCCTTGTTCCAGGCTTCTCAAATGTCCCAGTAGCTATGCGGCCTTTCTTTACCACCTCATTCTCCTAATACTTCTAGCCCCTCACTCTGTTAAGTCTTTCCTCATGGCATTCATCACCATCTCATCTACAACATACTGTTTATTTAGTATCTTTTTCCCACCCAATAGAATTTGAGGTCCCTGAGACATGAGCATGGCACATAGTAGGTACTCAATAAATACTGAAAAACAGTGTCATTTCTAAAGCTGTTGCATAATATACATTATTAGGTTAATCACATTGTAATTGAAACTTTTAATTTTAGTTTTAGAATAGTTTTCTCTCACTATATTTCTAGAACAAGGATTGGGAGGTGGGAGGACTCCTTGATTTAAGAACTCATTTTACTACTTGCCTTTTAGTAATCTTAAGCCACCAGAAGGTAATTTTCTTTTTTTTTCTTCTTCTTCTTGGTGTTTTAAAAGCTCAGAAAGAGGGTTTCTTCCTCACCTGGGTTGCTCCATCAGTTAAGCATCCAACTCTTGATCTCAGCTCAGGTCTTGATCTCGTGGGTCATGAGTTCAAGCCCCACATTGGACTCCACGCTGGGCATGGATCCTACTTAAAAAAAAAAAAAAAAGAAAGAAAGAATAAAGAAAGCTCAGAAGCAGGATTAAACATATTAATGTGACTGAGTATATAAGTAATATTTTTGAAAGGTTACAGTGAGATTCCAGTTCACTTCTGTGTTTGCTGCCATTGTAAATAGCTGTCCTTAGATCCTCTTTTCTGTAATACAGTGACCCACTGCTGCCTCCAGATGGCCCTTCCTGTTGCTTGTGGATAGTGCAATTATACATGCACACACCTTGTCAAATGAGCTGACAGTCCATGTGAAATCCAACCACTACTCCAGTTTGCACTCCAGAAGGAAGCCCCTTATCCTCCTACCCTTCCCCGTTAATAGGTTACTGAACTCTGTCCTAATGGTCTGTTCAAGTTTCTGAGTCATAGTTGCCTCCATTTCTTTATAAAATGAAGCTGTTCAGCATCAGGAGTGTAAGGGTTAGTGAAATGAGATGGGGCAGGTCTTTGGATAAAAGTTAAGTATCCAAATGTAACACATCTGTTTTTCCTCTCCTACAGCAAACCAAGAGGAAGCTAGATGATGCCAGCAAACGCTTGGAGTTTCTGTATGATAAACTTAGGGAACAGACAGTAAGTTTGTGGGGAAAAAGGATTCATGATAATCATTTATTCCTAGTTTCTAGTAAATAAGCATCTCATCAGCACTAGCATGTAATATATTTGGGGGCAAGATTGTGATGACAGTGATAGAATGGGCTTTCTCTAACTGAATTTTATATGTCATTTAAATTTGGGGATGAGGGAATAGGAGAGAGGGTGTGTGTATGTGTGTTTATGAGATAGGCGTGCAATTTTAACTTTTCTTATAACAAAGAGTAGAAATATAATCTGCCTTGTATTGGCCCTAAGGTAACTGGCCTTCTGTTCATTTTATATGTAGCTATATTTGCTGCATTTCAACATTCCTCTTCTCCATTCCTCACATCAGTCCCATCAGATAAAAATAACCACCCATGTCATGAGAAACAAACCAAAGAAAGTTGATGTAACAGTGGAAGTGGTGTGGTCCATGGACTGATCCAAAATAAATTCTTCCCTCAGAAGTATAGGCATTTAATCCAAGTAATGACATGGGATGAAAACGAGATGTTAATGGTTTTAAGAGATGGTAAGATTACAAAAAGCAGTGAAGAATTGATAAATTGAGTACATGGTAGCTGCTGCCCTATGAACGGAGGTGGACCACAAGTTTGGGGTCTCTACTGTAGACGTGGTTTTAGAGTACATTGGGTCCTTACGTTGAGATAAAATGATTAAGAACCTTTAAATTCCTTCATATGCATGGGAAAAGTTTTAAAAGGTGTGAGGCTATATCTAAAATATTTGAAGAATTAACACTCTTTTAAGTGGAGAAAGACGTTAGCATTTCAGCTTGGGGGAGGAAAGCTGGCTTCTATAAAAAAATTAACTGACTCATACATGTTCATAATTCATAATAATCTCCTTACATTAATCATCTTGCCATGGTTCTCCTTTATAACTTAAAGAGTTGCTTGGTCCAAAAAACTGTTTCTAGAAAATAAATGGTTTATTTTCTTTTTTATAATATTTGATTCAGTCTCCTTTTAAGTATCAGGGTTTATGGGAAATTCTTCCTTAATTTAATTTTTTTCTCTTGATTCTACCTTTATTTCAGCTTTCACCCACAATCATCAGTGGTTTACACAACATTGCAAGGAGCATTGAATCGCGAAACTACTCAGAAGGATTGACCATCCACACCCACATAGTTAGCACCAGCAACTTCAGTGAGACCTCAGCTTTCATGCCAGTTCTCAAAGTCGTTCTCACCCAGGCCAATAAGCTGGGTGTCTAAAAGGACATCTTTACTCCCAGCCCATATTGTCATTTTTCCAAAGAAACATACTTTAAAAAATGTTAAGATATGGACCAATCCTCATTAGCATGTTTCCATAACAGCCAGTCAAGAGCATTTACACTATTTCTGCAGATATACTCACCTTAGAACTGCTCAAAACCCAGGTGCTTTCTTTTGTTTTAATCTTTTATTGCCCATGATGATTTTCCTATTCTGCAAGTAGTGTATTTCCTGGATTACACATAGTGTGTTTTCCTGAAGTATTCTGATAAAATGTGGTTTTTAAAACCTCAGTATACTTTCTGGAAAAGGAGCATCTGGTTATGCATAAAGCAGAGCTAAAACTAAGTTTCTTTCATGTCCTCCCTACTTCCTCTATGTCAATCACATTAAAGTGTGTAATCCTATTTTATGTGTATATAGTCTTTTTTTTAAAAAAAACAGCTGCTCAGAGTTTAGTTTAATCCCTGTTTTTGTGTCTTTGGCTTCACTCAGGTCCTGAACAAATAACTAAATCTAGAGGTTGCTACATAGATTATAGCAAAGATTAATGAAGAGTGGGATCACTAGCTTTAAATATCTGTTGGAAAAGACTGAGCATTTTCATTCTGTGGAATGCATTGGACTTTTTTATATTAATAAATGTTTTCAATATTCTGTTTCAGTTTTAAGATTGAATTATCTCCAGTTTATATTTAGAAATTTGTTCATCCACTTTTTCAAGTCACTGAGAGCTCTGAGGTTTAAATTTAGAAGGAAAACTTTAATTTCTAACTCCTGAATCAAAGGCAGACATTTTTCAGCCCGTTTTTCTGTTAAGTGATTTTATTACAATTTGTCTTAAACAGTGTGGTGGGGCGCCTGGGTGGCTCAGTCGTTAAGCGTCTGCCTTCCGCTCAGGTCATGATCCCAGGGTCCTGGGATTGAGCCCCACATCAGGCTCCCTGCTCAGCGGGAAGCCTGCTTCTCCCTCTCCTGCTCCCCCTGCATGTGTTCCCTCTCTCGCTGTGTCTCTCTCTGTCGAATAAGTAAAATCTTAAAAAAAAAAAGAAAAACTGTGGTAAACAAAAGATAATGGTCCCCATAGAATCTTGAGAATTAGATACTAATAATTTTTCATTGTTACATTATGTAATTTCACGTAAGTAGGTTGGGAAACTAGAAAATAAACATTGTAACTACTGTGGAGTTGCTGTTTCAAGGAGTTAGAGTAGTTCCTGTAAGAGTAGTTCGTCAGGCTTTGTACATCCTGAGTGAAATAGGTTGCAAGAACCTCTCATTTTCTTTTGCTGGGATTCCCTACTGCCAAATAAAACCCCTCTTTTAAAAATTAATCCCTTGGTGTTTAGCTCAGAATAGTTTTATAACTAAAAAAAGGAGGACCTTGATAGCGTGTGTGAACATTGGAACCGCAGGACTGGGGTGATCTCTCAGCACCCTGCCTTCAGTCTCCTGGGAGTGTAGTTGCCTTAGTCAGTTCTGTGACTCACTGAAGTGAGTGGCAAGTGAGTGCTTGACCTTCAGGACCTGCCTCTCAACTGTGGGGTCAGCCCAAGACCCCATCGGAACAGCAGGCTGGCCTCTAGCAACTTTTTTCATCCTTTGTCCTTATAGTTAGGGTTTGTTTTATGTTTACCCTGATATGGGAGTGGCATAGTTGGCAGCATTTTATGAAAAAAGAAATTCCCAAAAGATGAGAAACAAGAGTAGGTGGCAGTAGAGCCCTGGCCAACCCCAAAGATTTTACGAGTATGAGTAAAAAAACAAATGTGTCACTGACATCTGAGCAACCGTTATCCTCCTTTTTCAGTATAGCATTGTGATATTTTTTCCCCTACTGTGGAGACATTTTTCCACATGACTTATAACCTTGGAAAAGTTCCACATAAGTGGATGGTGGTAAGAGGAGCTGAACCCAAAATACTGTGTTGTCTCTGAAGTATGAAGATAAAAAGAGATTATGGAAAGAGCATAGTTTGTTTTCTTGAAGAAAAGCAGAACAACTTTCAAAAAGTTTTTTGTTGGGCGCCTGGGTGGCTCAGTTGGTTAGGCAACTGCCTTCGGCTCAGGTCATGATCGTGGAGTCCAGGATCGAGTCCCACATCGGGCTCCCTGCTCAGCGGGGAGTCTGCTTCTCCTTCTGACCCTCCTCCCTCTCATGCTCTCTGTCTCTCATTCTCTCTCTCGCAAATAAAATCTTTAAAAAATTTTAAAAAATGGGAAAAAAAGTTTTTTGTTATAAAATTAGAGAAAAAAATTCAACTTAATTTTGTAAATGAGCCTGTTTTTAACGTTTTCACCTCCAAAGATATTGAATTGTATACCTACACAATTCAGGGACCTCTGTATAAAGTTATTCTTACACAAAGATGCGGTGGATCTGTTTAGTCTGGGAAAGTCACAGCTGTATCCTTGCCATTACTTCATGCATAGTGACGAGTCATTCTTTTACATCCCAAATTTGTTCAGTTTTGCCCTTACTTTGGGTGTGTTTTATTTCTTTAACCTACTTAATTTTAAAACAAGGAAAGGGCTGTGAGGGAACCTGGTAGGTGGGGCTGGGTGTCAGCCAGGAGATGTATCAGATCTCTGAGAGGTGCTTTTTTATATTGCACCTGCTCTTCTCCGTTTTTCATACGACCATTTGTGCTGGGTGGGATGGATGTATTCTTAGGCCCCATTTGAAAATCTTCATATGTAATGGGATACATAGCTGATGGAAGTCATGCATTTGGATAGTGTGGCAGCAGGAAAAGGTTGGGAACAACTGCTCTATACTTGACTATTGAGAGCCCAATGAGCCTATATATTCCTTTGGATTCAGAAAACTCCCATGTATCCTGGAGGACAGTAGAGTTCCTGGCAACCAGATGTACCCTGATTAACTCCTGCCTAAAAAGTAGAAGGAGGGATGGTAACTGGTTAACACTTTTCTGATAACCATTTGTCTCCTGAGCCAGATTTGGGTTCAGGTAAGAGTGATTTCAAGGCCAACTGTTGACCCTTCTGCTGTGGTGGAGACTTCGTTTGGAACTGTTGTGAAGATTCAGCGAGTAGTGTCCACGCATTTGTGTATGCATACATGCATCAGGATGCATGCGCCCCTCTTTATTGTGTTATTCCCAAATAGAAGCCCTGACAGTTCTATGGGTGTTCATCAAATGCTGAGGATGTCCCAGGTAGCATCTCAAATTGCGCAGTCAATAAGAGGGACTGTTTACGCACAGAAAATCTTAACTTTTTGGCCTTAATGGATAAATAGGCCAAATCTTTCAGTCAAACTAGATTACAAAGAAAAAGCAGTCACATTAGCTTTATAGTTCCACTCTTTCTGGTACACTGCTTGTTTCACCTACATTTCCGTAGCATCCGTGCTTTGTCACTGTACCAGTCCCCAAGGCCCAGGCTGCGCAGTATGCATCGAAGCTCATGGGAGTCAAATTGTACCATTCTTTCATTTCCAGCTGTTTGCTTTTTTACCCACTCGGGGGAGGAATGGGATGGGTAGGTTTTAAGGTGGTTGGTGTAGGTCTTGAAAAAGCTAATAAGATCCAGCAAGAGAAAATAGACCTTTTTTTTAAAAGATTTATTTATTTATTAGAGAGAGAACATGGGGGGAGGGGCAGAGGGAGAGAGAAAAAGAATCTCCAGCAGACTCCCCTGCTGAGTGGGAGCCCCACATGGAGCCTAAGTCGTCGGATCCTGCAACCCTGAGATCATAACCTGAGCCCAACCAACTGAGCCACCCAGGCGCCATAGAAATAGACTTTGGTATAACTGTGGTACATGTTTTTCGCATTCTGGATTCCTGTTTCCTGTTTCTAGAGATCTGCTGATTTATTTAGCAAACAGTGTTAATGTTGTTAGTCTAAAACACCTAGAATGACTTTGTACAAACATCATTACTCAGTAATGTCTGAGGTCTTTATTTTAATGGAGGTGAACTCCCTGTTGAATTTGAATTCAATTTTTGGCTGACATTTCATAGACCTAAAAGGCTATTGTTAATCCGGTAAGCCTTCCTGCTTTTATTGCTGTGCCTTAAAATTTCTAAGTCCATAACCTTTCTAAAACCACCTCTTGCGTATCAGTGGGTTCACGCTGTGCAAGCATGGGGTTGGAGGGGGGATGGCTTCAGAAGCCTTGTGAAATAGAGAAAACTAGTTTCTATTTCAAAAAAATGCAAGAGTTTGTTGGATTTTTAGTCTGTGTGAAGTAAATCCTAATGAAATTTGTGTCTCAAACATCTGCCATTATCTCTTGTATACCTTTAAAGGCATTTATACTTCCCAGCTCTAGAGAGTAGCATTTTAGCATTGTTATTAACTTGGTTTCTTTACTTCAGTAGATATTTGTTAAAGGGCTTGAAGTTCAGGCTCTTCCTGTCCATTAGGGCTTGGCAGTTCAGTAGGAAGACTTCATGTCCAAACAGATGTGTGTTTCCAGATAGGCAATGTAAAATGAACCAGTAGGGAGCCTGTCATAGGAACGGAAAGGATTCAAATTCGATAAGAGGAAAGTTCCAGACCTTTTTTTTTCTGATAAGTAAAAGGGCAGTGAGTATAATATATAATTCAAGGGAACCATTAAGGCTGGCCAATAAGTATGATTTGGTTAATGATGAGAAATCATTTCATCTTGCACTTTGTCCAAGTAAAGGAACTCCCCACTCTAGGAGGACTAGAATATGTGTGGTGGAATTGAATATCAAAACAGACTTCTGTAGTAAAGAAGGAAAGCAAACCATCTCCTAAACGTGACCTAAAATAACTTCCTTTCCCTCTGGTTGTATCTCCAAGTAAGATGACTTTCCTGACCCTTTTTTTTTGCCTGGAGAAAACAAGTCAGTTTCAACAGGCAGAAACCAAGTCCACAAAGAGTTCTCTCTTGAGAGGTGCTGCTTGGACACCCTAAATGGACAGACCTCACCTTTCCTTGAGCTGGGTACTTTGCTCCCTCTTCTAAGTCCTCACATCAGCCCAGGGAGCTAAGCTATTCATTCCAGTTGCCTGGTGCATCTGGTAAGCAGTAGAAGCTGGATTCAAACCCAGATCTCAGTCTAGTGAGCACATTTCTTCCACAAAACCACATTGTTCCCAAAGTAACTGCTGCTACAACAAAAAACGCATTCTGCTTTCTGATTTTGTGCTTCTCCCTCCTATTAGTCTGCAGACATCTGGCATTTCCCACAAATGAGGAATGTGGTTATGATAAATGGATAAGCTTATTGAGCATTGTGTATTGGCTTCTTTTGAGGCAGGTTGTCTTTACGTGCTGGGGAAAATGGCCCCTGGCAGCCCAAAGCCTACATCTCCACTGCTTGTGTTACACCAAGGGGAGAGGAAACCTCTCACAATACCCAATTACTGCTCACAAGGACAACTCCAGTTGCTTCCGTGTGGGTCTCATGCCCACTACCTACCTGAGTTCTCTGGCCAGAGAGATAGGATGCCAGAATTGGCTGGCCCATACAGTGTGCCCACCCTAGTATGAGCACAGTGATTTGAAGCCCCATGGAACAGTTCCCCCAAAGGAAAGGGTGCGATTTAGAGAAGAGGGGGGAGAGAGTAGGCCAAAACAATCCCTTACCTACCAGAGGGAAGCCCTTGGTGGTCACAGTAAAAAGTTTCATGGCACCTGTCTGAGAGTCAAGAAACAGTTT